TGGTGTAAGGTCTGAAGATTATTTCTGGACAATAGTTTTGGGGGTATACTTTATTATTTATTTAAAAAAAAAATAGCATCCTTAATGGTCTGACTGAGACTAGAGGAACCCTCAAAGACATGGCCCCGGATTTTCTGTTAACCTAGAACTAAAATCATTCCCGAAGCCAACTCTTCAGACAAATACTAGACTGGATTATAAAATATAATACTCGTGAAGAGTGTGCTTCTTAGTTCAAGTAGATACATGAGAGCAAATGGGCAGCTCCTGTCCGGAAGCGGGATGAGAAGGCAGAAACGGAAAGGAGATGGTTGAATGGACACGGGAAACCCAGGGTGGGAAGGGGGAGTGTGCTGTCACATTATAGGGATTGCAACTAGAGTCACATTAACAATATGTGTATAAATTTTTGTATGAGAAATTAACTTGAGCTGTAAACTTTCACCTAAAGCACAAAATTTTTTTTTTTAAAAAAAGCATCCTATTCTTATTTTGTGGATGCAGTATGTTCTTCTATGACTCTGAGAATATTAATTATAGTCCCTTTGGGGGGTTTATGTTCCCTGTATTATTTCCATTTTTCTCAGGTTCTTTTATTTGTTTTGATCTTCATCTTTCATGTTGAAGGTTTCCTCAAATGCCTAGTAATCCCTGCCTATCACTTTATAGTGATTTCAAATGACTAAGAGCCATGTATGAAAGACCAGAGCTTTGGACTTTGGACTTCACTGTGACACATGATCAAGTGACAAGTCGTTTTTTCACTGTTAAACTTTGTGGGTGGCAAGGGGCGTGCACACAGGATGTGGGGTGGACAGAGCTGGGTATAAGTCTGGCTGCCAGATTCTGTAGCTGGACGGAAGAAAGGAACTGGAGGTTCATAACATTTAGAATACTGACATTCCCTTAATCCTCTTGTTTCTAGTATAGCACCTCATTACCTCCACCCCCCTCCCCTGGATCCCAGTCCTAAATCTGTTTGGTTCAGTGTCTCCAGAGAATAAGCCTCCAGTCTTTTGCTAGAAAGAGGGACAGTTACCTGGCTACAAAGAAAGGAGAAAGTAAACTTTCAACCAATCTCCTTGTTTTCAGCTTTTCTCTCACCCCTACCTTCCAGGATACCTTGCGCCTTCAAATCCTTGAGTCTTTGGGGGCTTCTGGAAGGCAAAGGTAAATGTTCCAAATTTTAGACCTTTTCTGCGATGAAGAATGCCTGTCAGAACTGTGCTACCTATCAAATACATATATATTTTTTAAATCAGCACACTCCCTCTTTCCCTTCATGGTAAGGGAGGGTGAGAAGGTAACTGTTTACAACAAAAACCATAAACCTAAACTTCCTATTATTTATTGAGACTGCATTTTGAAAATTTGTATGTCTGGAGATGTTTTAATGATTATGTGATTATTTTAGCCAATACGTGTGTCCTTAAAAACTCATATCTGTAACTGGCCTCCTCCTTTACCACTAAACAGTGGTATCTTTGAGGCAATTATATATTATACTGTCCCTTCTCACAGCAATTATTTGGAGCTTAAAAAACAAAATGTATAATGTTAAGAGCCAGACTTTTCCCTGGGGAACCACAAGACTACAACCTAAGTTTAATCAATGTTACTAACACATTTATAGGATTGCCAGGTAAAATACTAGAGGCTAGTTAAATTCGAATTTCAGATAAATAATGAATAAGTACTTCTAGTATAAGTATGTCCCATATTTCATTATTTATCTGAAATTTAAATTTGGGCATGCTGGTGTTTTTTATTCGCTAAATCTGGCCACCCAACACATTTCAAGGAATGTGTCATAAATAGAAAGTGACAAACATAGAAAAGCTGGGTTTAAGCAAGGAAACTGGGATCTGGACCAAAGCATTCAAGCCACTGGAAATCTACTTAAATACCAGGCAGATAGGCAGGGGCCACCACCATATAACCTATTTTGCAGTAAGTCCCCCTGGAATTCATTGGCTTTGGCCTTGGAAGACTATACTTGTGGGGTTTAATTGTTGGAATATGCCCTCCGCATGATCCTATACTATACTTGGATGGCTTCCCTATTCAATTATTTTATATGACCCTTCACTATAAGCAGTTTTCAAATATTTGAAAGAACAGTATAAAGATTAGGGTTTAAATGTATTTAATGTGACCCTAGAGACCAGAAATGGGATCAATGGCCAAAAGTTCTGGAGTAATGTATATTGGTTCAATATATTTAAAAAAAAGAACTTCATAGTATTTTATTACTATGTATATTTATTACTATGTACTATTACTAGTATTTATTAAATAGTATTTTATTTAATGTTTTCCCAGTACCTGGAATACAGTAGGTACTCCATAATTATTGGATGAACAACTAAATTTCTAACAAGAGATGTTTAAAACGGGCGGCTCTAAAAGACACTGAGTTCTCTAACACTGGAACCAGAATTAGAAAACCATTTATTAAAGATGTAAGAGAATTTACGTGGCTGTGTGTAAAAAAATAACCAAAGTGACTTATTTGCTTTAACAATCTACTCTAATATCAAAACATTGTTTTCATCATAGAGAAATTTTTTAGATAGCTAGGTACAATGGGAGCCCCAGCAGGAGAATCCCCTAAAAACCAAAACCAAAACAAAACCCGTTGCTGTTGATTGATTCCAACTCACAGTGACCCTATAGGGCAAGAGTAGAATAGAACTACCCCACAGGGTTTCCAAGGAGTGGCTGATAGATTCAACCTGCTGACCTTTTTGGTTAGCAGCTGAGCTCTTAACCACTGTGCCACCTGGGCTCCAATATTTGCCTGCCTTCTGCCATGTATCAGTATTTCCTTTTTTTGGGAAGCAGGTAAGATTAAAACACAGAATTATAATGGTCTGGGCTTAAGGTGGAGTCCCTGAGTGGTGCAAATGGTTAGTTACCATGCTTGACTGCTAACCGAAAGGTTAGAAGTTTGAGTCCACCCAGAAACTCCTTGGAAGAAAGGCCTGGCAATCAACTTCTGAAAAATCAGCCACTGGAAACCCTGCGGAGCAGCACAGTTCTACTGTGACACACATGGTGTCACCATGAATCAGAATCAACTTGATGGCAACTGGTTAGGGCTTAAAGTATCTGGACTGCTTCAACAAAAAGAGGCTGTCTATCTGTACTGAGAGAATAACAACTTTACATAAGCTGTTAATGTCCACTGGTTTAGAATTCCTGTTCTTTATTCCTCTGATAAGTATTTCTATAAATAAAGGATACATTTGTCCTCTATCCTAATTACAGCGACTGCATTTAAACAGAGGTCCACACAGACATAATGAAAATAGCAAATCTACTCCCCAACTCCCAAGTTCATGGCACAAAAGTTAAGGATTATTCAGGTATCTACCATTTTGTGCTACCTGGGATTATCTAAACAAACAGGTTCAAATTTAGGTCTTGATTGAATATCTGACATTCTCTTCTTCAAATGTGTTTCTTCTCTGAAGTTGCCAATTTCCCTCCTATCAAAGATATGTACATACAGATATTACATCTATTAACTCTATTCAGTATTTAATGAATGTTGAAAATGCCTTAAGCAAAGCGGGATCTATTTTGAAGACAAATGACCATACTCTGTTCAGCATGTACAAAGCTGTTGGTTTATTCAGCTGCAAAGCTGGGGGAAAGGCTTCCTTCCAGAGTGAATAGCAAAATGCGTTTGTGAGCAAGGCACTTTTATACATACACACAGAGAAAACGGAATGTAATATGTTACATAAACATCAACATATTTTAATTTTCAGGCCTACTCTTTACCTCTTACCACCCCACTAAAAGAAGGGAACAGGTTCTTGTAACATTTTAAAAACCAATTAATTTCACAGAGCAACTACATGAAAACAGCTTTTGATACATTCAGTTACACTAACAGCATGACAGTTTCCAGTCAGTAATTTTCTACTAACATATTTTTTCTCCCTTTTACAATTCCCTCCTTTTTCCTTAAAACAGGACAACTAAGGCTCAGCAGAAATACTCGTTAGGTTATAAACATTCTTCTTTCTTCTTAAAGTTGCTATACATTTGTACAATTTGTGATTCCATTACTGTTTGACTTTTTTGATGCTACACTGTAGACAGCACTTAAATTATGGAGTATAGAAAAAGCAAAACTAAAATAAGGAAGAGGATATATGATATACCTTTAACAATCTGTTTTCTGATTCCCTTTAGATGCAGTCAACCAGGACCACACACCGGTTTCATCTTTACTGTAGGGTGTGTGAAAAGATTTAATGGTCTCATGCAGTTCATGTATATTGATTTCTTTTGACTCATCTACATAAACAGAGCAAGACTCATATACAAGGGCACATATTCTTCTTTATTCAGCTAGAAGAAAATCTAAAGCTTAACTACTGAACAACACTGCTAAAACTCTTCAGATTGCGTTAGCCTAAGATTTTTTTATAGTAAGCTTCTTTAAAATTATAAAGATCCCCCAAAAGTTTGCATGGATGTGGAAAATGCATAAACTTCTCCTCCAGGAAATGTTACACAGATGAAGCATTTTAATCCATTAGAGGTTAATACTGAAAGGATAAATGCTTTCTTAATCCTTTTTGGTCTTTTGGAATGTATATAACTTGCTCTTGACAAAAGTCTGGGTTCCAAGACACAGGAAACATATTCCCTATAGAACAAGCATCTGTTTAATCTTGAGGGATGACCTTATAGGCCAAGTTAGCCAGAGACGCCGGGGGAGCCTATGATATAGAATGTTCATGCTGTATTTATATGTACTGTAATAGGCCTGGAATAGTGTAGGTTAGGTTTGAAACTGTACTCCCCCACCAAAAAGTAGGAGCACCTACAGTGTTATATGCAAGCATATTTATATAAAAGCTGGGAAAAACCAAAAACCCCACTGCCACTGAGTTGAGTCCAACTTACAGTGACCCTATACGTCAGAGTAGAACTGCCCCATAGGGTTTCCAAGGAGCAGCGGATAGATTTTAACTGCTGACCTTTCAGTTAGCAGCCGAGCTCTTAACCACTGTGCCACAAGAGCTCAGACAATACTCCTATTATTTTCCTTTTTTCAGTTATTCAATTTAATCTATCTAGAAATGAATGTCAGAGTGTGTTCAGGAAAGCATTACTGGGAGTTGCTAACTTTCTACTACTGACAATGGCTATTCTGAAGGTTGAGTAACAAAAGAGGTGGTGGCCTACTTTTTCCTTCCTATTAATAATTAGAGATCTAGTTAGAGTCCGTTGAAATCGGCAGAGTAAATTCAGGAGGGAAATGTGTAGAGTGTAGTCAACTTTTTCAGTATGGTCTCACTGGAGTATTTCTTTATTGAAGTTCAGTTTTTTCACAGGGGGATGCCCACAATACACATTTTCTAGAGCTGACTTATGGGGCCATACTTGGTAGGTACGGCTTGTCAGGGGATAGCATAGTTTCAGTTGAGAAGGCATTAGTTTCTCAACTGTGGTCTGTATAATGATTGACTTTGTACCCCTTTCTCAATTAGCAACATAAAAATATCAGAGTAAATGGTGGATCTTTATAGTGATGCAGTTAGGAGTTTGTTAACTGCCTTTTGGAAGTCAGTGTAGGAGTAGGTAGTGTTGATGGGTTCGCTGCGGGTTGTTTCCTTAACTGTTTTAGTTAGCCAGCCACAGCAACAACCAGAAACACATGAATTGGGGATCTGTTTTAGGTATTCAGGTATGGGTGTGGCTCTACTCAATGTTCGGCTTAACTGTTTGGTGGCAAATTGCAGTGCTCCATTTAGAGTGGCATGATCTCTAGAGAGCCGGCTGGGGCTTATAAGGGGCTTTTGAAAAGGTGGGACACCACAAGAGGCCAGAGGGGGCCATTCAGGAATTGGTTCTAGTTTGGGTACACAATGCGAACAGTGGGAGAGTCTTAGACCTATCTCTCGAAGTATATGGACGGGTGTGCTTAGATCCAAGAGTTTAGCATGATATAACCAAGAATTAGGATTTAAAGGTTTCCAAGTTGTGGAATATTTTAAAAGGCACTTAACCTGCCAGGCAAGACTCTCAAGAGGTGTTAAGTTGGGCACCACAGGGTCTTCTTCAGAGGAATCCCACTCTTCCCCAGAACTCTCATTTAGGTAATTTGCATTTTCCTCTTCCTCACTTTCTGATTCTGACAGTGGGTCAGGAGAGGGATTTCTGGGGCCCATTAGAATAGAACAGAATAAAGAACCAGAAAAATGTAACAAGCTAAGCCGGAAAAACACTGACTAACACTGGCAAACAGAAACAAGAGATTAAAAATCCTTTCAATAAGATTGATTTGTCTCTCAGTTCATAACACACACACAATATGCCTCTGGCCTGCACCACTGTGCAGTTCTTCAAGATTATGTTGTATATTCTTCACTTACAAAGAACGCATCTCAGTTGTTAGGACCAGTTCAGTGTGTAAAAGTGTTAGTCACTTACCAGTGGCACAGGTCACAGAGTATCTCTTCAAATCCTGGCTACCCAAGAAGAGAAAGGGTCCTCACCTAGGCAAGCTGATTTTCTTAGCACACTGTCAACTGGTAGTGATACTGTGAAGAGGCACTTCGTGCACTGTTTTGTTGGCAGCAGTATTCTCTCTTGTTGGTAATTAAAAGAAGCTTGGTGGTCTGCTTCGTTGTCCACTGGTGCAGCAACTTTTGTGCAGGGGGATGGCAGGATGAGTTGTCAGGGCATCTGGTGTGCAAGGATCCGATGTTTTTCATAAGTCGTCCAAATGCCCTTGGAATCTGGTGACTTAGTTGTTGGACTATCTGGAAAGGTAGCCTTAACCTGTGAGTGATAAGACTAGAGACATGATATTAAAGCCTAAAAGACTTTTCCAACTCTGTCTTATAGGCTTAAGCCTATTTTCCTGTTGGGAATGGCTCTCACAATCACAAAACTGGGAGGGAGAGGGTCATTTTAATCCTTTGTTGGTACACAGTTGTAGCCCAGACAATTATTTCTGCAAAGGCAGACCCCTTATGCCCCCAACTCCAAACACAGAGCAATAAAGGTATCTTTTTTACCTTCAGATGTGCTCGTTGGGATTAGTTTTAGGGGGCCTGTCCTGGTTGCAGAGCTGTTAGATGTTAGGACTCTTGCTGGGACCTCAGAGGTTGTGGTCATATGACCATACTGTACAGGTATGAAAGAAGATGGCAGGTATAAATCTTAATATAGTAGCAATTACATTAAATATGAATAGGTAAGACGTGCAATTAAAAGGCAGATACTCAGACTGGATAAAAACAGTAACAACAGTATTCGACAATATGCTGCCAAAGAGATACCTTAAACCAAAAGGACACAGAAAGGTCAAAGGATAAAAAAAGATGTATCAGGCAACTATAGAGCAAAATAAAGCTGAAAGAGCAATCTTAATATTAAAAAAAAAAAAAAAAAACCAAAGAATTCAAGCCAAAAAATATCAAAAGGGACAAAGATGAAGTTAATACTGATAAAAAGAACAGAATATGAAACTAAAAATAGAATTTATCAATTTACCAAGTAACAAGTGATAGAACTGAAGGGGAAATATATAAATCAGCAATTACAGTTGGAGATTTTAAAACAATCTCACAGAAATGAATAGATCAAACATAAAAAATAAGCAAAGATGTTAAGAAGCCTGAAAAATAGTTAAAATATTAATACAGCTTAGGTATTACATAAATAACAGAAGTCTAGACCAAACTTAATAGACATTCTTTTTGAACACATAAAAATAGATTGCACATTAAGTTATAACGTATAACTAGATTCCAAGGATCAATTTCATACAGACTATATTCTCTGACCATAATGCAATAAAAGTGGACACTAAAAGTTAGCTAAAAACAATCCTATGCTAGGAAACGAAATAATTCATGGATTAAAGTGAAAAATCACAGAGGAAATTGTTATGGATTGAATTATGTCCTCCAAAAATATGTGTTGTAAATCCTAACCTCTATGCCTGTGGTTATAATCCCATTTGGGAATAGGCTGTCTTTGTTATGTTAACTAGGCAGGATTAGTATAGAGTGCATATTGAGTCAATCTCTTTTGAGATATAAAAGAGATTAAGCAAACCAGCAGAGCAGACATGGGGAAAGAGAGATGCCAGGCCACATGAAAATCACCCAGGAGCAGAAGCTCAAAAGAGACAAGGACTTTCCTCCAGAGCCCAGAGAGAGAGAAAGCCTTCCCTAGAGTCGGTACCTTAAATTTAGACTTCTAGTCTCCTAAACGTTGAGAAAATAAATTTCTGTTTGCTAAAGCCACTCATTTGTGGTATTTCTGTTATAGCAGCAGTAGATAACTAAGATAAATTTTCAGAAATATTACAACTGAAAAGTAATGCAAAGCCTATAAGGCAAAATTTGTGGAACTTGGCCAAACCTGTACTTAAAAAACAAAAACAAAAATGTGTAGCTTTGAACACTGATCAGGAAACAAAGAAGTTTAAATATCCACAAGTTACGCATTCAATTCAAGATACTGGAAAATGAGCCACAGTAAGAGAAGCAGGAAGGAAATAAATAATATAAACTAATAAGATGAAACAGGTGAAACTGATCAAAAAAGATTTAAAAATAACAAAAATGAGATAAAAAAATAAAAAACTTGACAACTCCATGCTAAAAATGTGAAAATCTAGATGAAATTGCTAAATTTTGGAAGAATATAAAATACTAAAATTCATGCAGGAAGAAGTAGATCACTTGAATAGAACAGTAAATATTAAACAAACTGAAAAGGTAATCATCAACCTTTTATTAAAAACACCAGACCCAGATGGCTTTACAAGTGAGTTCCACTAAACTTCCAAGGAAACTGTTATCTAAGTTATTCCAGAAAATAGAAAAGCATGAAAACTGACCAGCTCATTTTATAAGAATAATAAAATATTAATTCCAAATCTAAGAATAAAATACAAAAAGTATAGGCCCATATCACTTGCAAAAATCCTAAATAAAATATTAACAGAATCCAACAGTGTATTAAAGAAAAAAAAATTGTTATAATCAAGCAGGAAACATGAATAGCTTTAGTTACAGAAAATTTATAAATGTAAGTTTCCATAGTAATAGACTGAAGGAAAACAAACTCAGATTTTTTATCAGTTGTGGATATTTACTCTTTCTTAGTTTCTGGTCAACACTTTTTATGATTTAAAAAACAGAACAAAACAAAAAACTCTTACCAAATTAGGGAGAGAAAAATAACATTCTCAACTTGGTAAAGGTTATATATACTGAAAACTTAGAGCAAATATTATCTTAAATGAAAAACTTTAGATATAGCTCCTTTAAAAATGAAATTAGATAAGGATAAACATGAGGGCTGATACTGCATGACATATTACTAAAAATCTTAGTGAATGTTAAAAAAAAAAAAAAAAGAACGAGAGGTATAAGAACTAGAAGAGAAGATATAAAACTATTAATTTGCTGATCATCCAACTAAAAAAGTCCCAACAGAATCAACATATAAACTACTAGAGTTAATAAGAGTTCAACAAGGTTCCTGTATCTGAAATTAATCTATGAATATTCATTAATTTAATAGCTTATATAACATTTACTATTTTCCAGGTACTAGTCTAGGAACTTTACAAATGTTAACTAATTTAGAATTCTAACAGCCTTACAAGGTAGGTACTTTCATTGTCCCCATCTCATACATGAAGATTAAGTTAACTGCCCAAGGTTATACATTCAGTAAGTGATGGAGCCCGGAGTTGAACCCAGACACTTTTAAAGTCTATACGAGCAACTCTGTGCTGCTGAGTCAATTCTGACTCATAGTGACCCTACAGGACAGAGAACTGTCCCATAGGGTTTCCTAGGATGAAATCTTTACAGGAGCAGACTGTCAGGTCTTTTCTCCCATGGAGCTCCTGGTGGGTTTGAACCACTGTCCTTTTGGTTAGGTCAGCAGCAGAGTGCTTAACTATTGTACCACCAGGGCTCCTTAACCAGCAATACTGACTAGAAAATATATTACATAAATACCTTTCATGATGGGGGTAGAGGGAAAGCTATAAAGGATCTAGGAATTAACCAGTAATATAGAAGACCTCCATGAAGAAAAGTGTAAAATTCTAATAAAGAACATTGAAGATGATTTAAAATAGAGGCATTCCATGATGGTATAACCGAGTATTGCAAGGATGTCAGCTTTCTCCAAATTAATCTATAAATTCAATACAAATTCAATCTATAACTTACAGCATTTATAAGAACTCCATAAACTCTAAAATTTATATGGAAAGAACATTCCCAAAATAGTCAAATCAACTATAAATAGGATAGTAAAGGGATTCTTGCCCTACAAGATATTAAGACATATTACAAAAACACAGAAATGAAAATAGGGTGGAATTAGTGTAAGAACAGACAAATAGTGCAATAGAACAGAAGAGAGCTCAGAAGCATGGTCATATATAATTTGAGAATGTAGTATACAATAAAGTTGGCACATAAGGAAGAATAGTTTTATTTAGCTCATAATATTTGTAAAACTGCCTCACTGTATTAAGAAAAATATAACTGGATACCTATATAATGCCACATACAAAGGAGGACTCATGATGGATTAAAGACCTAAATAAGAATGGTAAAAAACTATGTAGTTAATAGAATATAATGCAGCAGAATATCTTTGTGACTTAGGGCCAGGCAAAGACTTCTTAAACAAAAAGCATAAGATGAAAAAATGAATTCAATCACATCAAAAGTAATCATTACTGAATTCAACTGAAGACATCAAGAACAAAGTTAACTATAAATCAATAAGAAAAAGGCAGCAATCTCAATAAAGCAATGGACAAGAATATCCAACTTACAGAAGAGAAAATCTAAAGGCCATTAGCCATATGAGTAAAGAAATATCACATTGTGCTAATAGTTTGGTAAAAATTAGAATGCTACATAATGCCAAGTGTTAGTGAGGAGGCTGAAGAAATCCCTTTAGGAACCAGCATTGCTGGTGGGATTGCAGATTGGGGTAACCTTTTTGAAGAGCAATCTGGCGTTACTTAATCAAATTAATGATCTGCACATTTCATGATCTAGCAATTCTACTTCTATAGTATATTCAAAACTCAAACCAAACCCATTGCTGCTGAGTCAATTCTGACTCATAGCGACCCCGCAGGACAGAGTAGAACTGCTCCATAGGGTTTCCAATGCTGTTAATCTTTACAGAAGCAGACTGCCACATCTTTCTTCTGTAGAGCAGCTGGTGGATTTGAATCACTGGTCTTTCAGTTTGAAGCCAAGTGCTTTAACCACTGCACCACCATGGTTCCTTCTAGGTATAGAGTGCAAAGTAATTCTCTATAAGGCCAACATGTATCCTGATGTACACTGAAGCTTCATTTGTTATGGTAGGGAGCTAGAAGCATTCTCGGTCTCCATCACTGGAAGAGCGCATAGGTAAAATGTGGTGGAAGCACATCGAAGTAGACATAGCAACAGGGATGGACTTTAAAGGCACAGCTCTGAATGAAAACAGCAAAAAACAGAATGATGATCCCACTTACGCCATTCTGTATGAGTGATTTCCAAAATGAAAGTCAGTGAATATCTCCAGTTTTGTGTTACACTGAGTTGTGCTAAAAACTTATGATTTCACGTCAGTAACTTTTTGTAGTGAATATTTCTCTGGGTTCTACACATTTTTTTTTTATCTCCTTCACTTCCTAGCACAGTATCTGGCACATATTAGGGACTCAGTAAATGTATTTGAAAGAATTAATGAGAGAATGATGAAGGTCTTCAGTAGCTATACACACATGTTCTGTTTTTATTCCAGGGAGACAAAAATTCCCAAATTATATTTAGGTAATTTGGTGATATGTTGAATAAAGGAAAGTGAAACAATTTTTTAAAGAAGGATCAACAAAGATGATGGTATTACAGCAATATAAAAGGAACTTTATATTTAAACTGTGGAAACTAAGGTTGTATATATAAGCATTAATGTAAGTATTTTTAAGTTTAGGTTACAATATTATTACCTAGTTCAATCTGAAAACAAAAAGTAAATTCAAGTCATGTCACATACTATACATATTTTAAATAGGGGCAGCTGTTGGCTTTTAACTGTTCTGTCCTCATATTTTATTATTTTCATTTCAACACAATTCCATCTGCAAAATTATTAATACTTCAGTTACTGTGTTACTTAAAGCATTCTTAGAGGGGCTCACTACTTTAGCAGCGATAAGACAGAAAAAGTCTATTTGAAGGTATATGTAAATTCTAGGGTGAGCTTATCACTAGTTTTCCTTCTTCATATTCCATGTGCATATTTTTTCCATTATCAAAACTGAATTAATCACTCCTATACTATCTAGTCCCATGTATAATTTACCTTTAAATGAATGACTGTTTTGAAATTTGAGAACTATCCTTACTATAAATATGCTTTAGTTTTTGTTATTTCTTCACCTAAACTAAATTTACTGATAGGAAGAGATTTCTGTGAACTATGAGTTTATTCCCATAGTTGTATTTGTTCTTTTTTTCCATTGCACTAAAAGTCAAGCCACATATATGTTTTAAGGCAGTGAGACTATGATGTTTAAGTTAGCATCCTTTTTTAATTTTTCAGATTACAATGTTCAAAAAATACTTTAAAAAAATATGGTTTAAAAAGACCAGACTTACTGGTATGACAGAGACTGGAAAACACCAAGAGTATGGCCCCCGGAAACACTTTTAGCTCAGTAATGAAGTCACTCCTGCTGTTCACCCTTCAGCCAAAGATTAGACAAGCCCATAAAACAAAATGAGACTAAAGGGGCACACCAGCCCAGGGGCAAGGACTAGAAGGCAGGAGGGGGCAGGAAAGCTGGTAATAGGGAATCCAAGGTCAAGAAGGGGAGAGTGTTCACGTGTCATGGGGTTGGTAACCAATGTCACAAAACAGTATGTGTACCAGTTGTTTAATGAGGAGCTAGTTTGTTCTGTAAACCTTCATTTAAAGTATAATAATTAAAAAAAAAAGGTTAAAAAATATGGTTTAATCATTAAAAGAAAAGAAAAGCTAAATCAAATTAGGCTGACCTCTGGTGGCCAGATGCTTCGTCCTTCAGTAACTGACAAAATGGTCTAAGTCTTCTCTCATTTGTGGTGAGTTATCCAAATAAAATATAGTAAAGGACATAATATTGTGAGAAACTTTTCAAAGAAAACACAAATATAGCAAGTACCCAGAGCACAAAAAGAGTCGAGCAATTAAAAGCCACAAAACGAGAAAAATTTTTAGTTTACCAGTTGACTTTACATCAAGAACATATATATGCAATGGTTCTCAAAGTATAGAACAGTTTTGTGCAGTCCGATACTGTAGCCACTTGCCCAGTGTATCCATTAACACTTAAATGTGGCTAATGGGAACTGATATAGCTGCAAGTGTAAAATAATGCCCAATTTTGAATACTTAGGAGAAAAAATGCAAATTACCTCATTAACAATTTATATTGATTATATTGATTACATGTTGAAATGATTTATTTTGGATATAAAACCAAAAACTAAACTCGTTGCCATCGAGTCGATTCCGACTCATAATGACCCTATTTCGGACATACCTGGTTAAAAAATTAATGCCCTTTCTAAGTTTCTCTTTCCAGGTATTCTACATTTTAGGTATAGTGAGATTACAGATGCTTTCAGTATATTTCATGCATTCTTAGAACTCTACGCTTTTGTTCTAGCTAATTTGAAATACTGTTCTTGCCTTTTTAGAAATTAGACATCCTGGTAATTCAAAATATCAACTCAAATGCTACCACATTTATTACTTTAACTAGCATCTGAACCTACAATGTTTCAGGAATTCCATAGCAACCTATCTGTGGCTCAGTTTCATTTTAAAAGGAGACGGAAGTTACCCTACAGGGGTTGTTTGTAAGAACTGAATGAGGTAAAGTGCTTACAACAGTGTCTGGTACATGATCAATAGGTGTCAGTTATTAACATGTCAATATTCACATCTCAAAAATTCAGCTTGAAAAATGCAACTTGTGCGTATGATTATTCATACAATGTTAAAACATGCAAAAAATACAATTATTCAAGGGTTTATTCATATCTTGTTAATACATAAAAATCTGCGCGGTGAAGATTAATTCAGAAAAGCCGTTATTTCTGTGGAGGAAAGGTAATTTAATATGAGAACTGTGTACTGGAAGCTTTGTAATGTTTTTTTTTTTTTTTTGGTTGGCGGTTGGTACTGAGATGTTCGTTTTTGTCTGTCTGATATACTCCATTAAAAAAACAGAAAGGTTTAAAGACTTAGTTCCTCCTCTAAGGCATTTCAAATTTCTTTACCTTAACCACTATACTACAGACCTTTCCCAGTTCTGTGTTCTCCTTTGTTCACTGCCTTGTCGTTATGCATATTCGTAAACTAGGCCTCGACAGCGGGGACACCTAGAATCATCTGTTGCTAAATTAAATCGGTCTTTTCAGAAGTCCTGAGACTGCCTCGCTCCCCTGCAGCCTCTCCAGACTGCCCTCCTCCAGCCCAGGACCTAAGGCCTTAAAAGACCGCAGCCAGGATACCTCGAAACGCCCCCTCGGTTAACCGAGGACTGTTTCCCTCAAGTAAGCCCTCTTTTTCTCTCCTTGACGGAACCCGAAGCTTCCCCTCCTCCCGGAATACCCCCTCAGCCGGAGCATTGATGGCTCCTCTCAGCAGACCCCCTGTTCTCACCCACGGAGGTTCTCTTCCTTTCCACCTCACGACCAGCCGCGGGACCTGGCCAGCGCTACCGCTGCAAACCTGACGTCCCCCCCAGGTCGCACGGCGGCTCCACTCCCCCCGCCCCCTGCTGACACTACTTCCGGCCTTACTAACTTGCCCGCCTCTAACCCTTCGAAAGAAAACTTCCCACCGAGAAAACGACTGGACAGCGCCAACACCGCATGCGTCAAATCGGGGAGGGAGGGGGAATGCGTGCGGCTCCAATCTCTTTCCGCTCCCGCGCATGACGCGCTCGCCTCAGTCTCGCGATTCTTCCTTCCCCCGCGGGAGTTATTTTGAACTCTCTGGCGGTAACCGCACCCTAGGGTTTCGAGGAGCTCTGAGGCTGGCCTGCGGGGCTCTGAGGAGACAGAGGAAAACTTGGCTTTGGGTCGAGTGAGCACGGGCAGGGCTAGTTCTGACTGGGTCCTTGGCGCTATGGGAGCGGAGAAGAGGCTGCCCTCGATTAAGGAGGCATTTCAGCTGGCCCAGCAGCCGCACCAGAACCAGGCGAAGCTGGTGGTGGCGCTGAGTCGCACCTACTGCACGGTAAGCGAGGCCCGCCGGGCCTTCCGCCTCCGGCCCTAGCCCTCCCCACGGGCCTCCCCCGACCCTCTGGGCTAGGGGCACCGAGAGAATAGGACTACGACTCCAAGGCGCTCATTGCAGGCCTGCTGCATGCCTGCAGCTTCAGGGCCTGGATTAATCTTCCCGACCCGCTTCGGAGGGACCTGAGGTTCGGAGAGGTCAGGCAACTTGTCGAGGTCGTCCGGACCCAGGTCAGAATGACCCCCAGTCCCAGGCGCCATCCACACGGGGTCCGCCTTTGCTTTTTTGTCCCCGTCATGGCTGTCCACTGCCCGGGCGTGGACTATTAGCCTTAGTCGGATGGTGGACTTGGAGAGTAAAGCATTTAAGAGCCCCGAGGCGACAGGCGCCAAGTGGTGAGCAGCAGAGTGGATCCTGAACGCGGTCTCAGGGGTTGTTATCTCTCCTTGTCACCTCTGGTCACCGCCCACAGCAGAAATGCTGTCAGCCAAGTTATTTTATCCCCGCCCCCACAGTTAAATTGAACTTAATCACCAAATACCAAATTAATCATCAGGACCAGGTCTTTCCTGTTCATGTAAATACTGTTTGTCTCTGTGTTTGTTTTGACGGGAGCCTTGGGAAGAATAGGACAATGAATTTTGGGAAAACAAATGATCTTGAGGTACGAGAAAAATTGTAAGTAAATATAACAGAGCTTGAGGATGTGAGATAGGATGTGAAAGCTGTATCAAAAAGAAATTGCTGTGTGATTAAACCAAACCAAACACACTGCCATCCAGTCAATTCTGACTCATAGCGACCCTATAGGGCAAGTAGAATGCTCCAAAGGGTTTTCAAGACTGTAAATCTTTAGGGAAACCAACTGCCACATCTTTTTCCAGCCGATCAGCTGGTATAGTTGGAACAGGTGATCCTCCGGTTAGCAGCTGAGCGCTTAACCACTGCGCCACCAGGGCTCCTTCTGTGTGATAAAAACCGAAAACCACATCCGCTGTGGTCAAGTCGATTCCTACTCAGCAACCCTGTAGGACAGAGTAGAACTGCCCCATAGTTTCCAAGGAGCGCCTGGTGGATTTGAACTGCTGACCTCTTGGTTAGCAGCCACAGCACTTAACCACTGTGCCACGAGGGTTTCCTGCTGTGTGAAAGGAAGGCCTAAATATGATAAATATTAAAAGCCAGTGTTGATTTTCTAAGCTATATTTTTTTTTTTATAGTACTTCAGGTGAAGTCTTACAGAACAAATAGTTTCTCATGAAACAGTAGCACACATATTGTTCTATGACATTGGTTAACAACCCCTCAACGTGTCAACTCTCTAACTTCTCAAACTTTTTTTTGGTGAAAATACACATAGCCAAAGATAACACCATTTCAAAAATTTCTACATGCACAGTTCAGTGACATTGACTATGCTCTTCCAATTGTGCTGTGATTCTCACTTAAGATGAAGGCTTACAGAACAAAATAGTTTCTCATATAACAGTTACTACAAATGTTGCCCTATGACAATGGTTAACAATCTCACAACATATCAACACTATGCTTACTCAACCTTGGGTTCCCTATCACCAGCTTCCCCGTCCCCCGCTGCCCTCCGGCCCCCGTCACTGGACTCCTGTACCTCATTAGTCTCATTTGGTTTTATGGGGCTGTCCACTCCCAGGCTGAACGGTGAACGTCGGAAATAACTCCACCACTAAGCTAAACGGGTGTCTGGGGGCCATACTCTCGGGGCTTCTCCAGTCTCTGTCAGGCCAGTAAATCTGGTATTTTTTTTGTGAGTTAGAATTATGTTCTACGTCCCTCTCCAGCTCTGTCCAGAACCCTCTGTTGTGATTCTGGTCAGAGCAGTCAGTGGTGGTAGCCAGGCAGCATCCAGCTGTATTGGACGCAGTCCGATGGAGCCCCTGGTAGCTGTGGACAATTAGTCCTTCGGACTAATCTTTTCCTTGTATCCTGTTCTCTTCATTCTCCCTTGTTCCCGAAGGGAAGAGACCAGTTGAGTATCCTAGATGGCCACTCACAGGCTTTTAAGACCCCAGACACTACTCACCAAGGTAGAATGTAGAGCGTTGTCTTTATAAACTGTGTTATGCCAGTTGAGCTAG